TTTGTTTGTGTACAAACTAATACAGTATCAGAGTTTTATATATTTATACTTTTCATTCAACCACAAATTCACTCTGTCTAGGAGGCACAATTTATACGGATAGTATTTATTTTTTACAATAACAAGCTGGAATGAAAACAAGCAAAAATGAAATAGAAGTAAAAACTTTCTACTTCTTACCTTTTTTTAAATGTAAGGAGTAGAAAGTACAGATAATAATGTGAAAATGTAGGAAGTAGTAGAAGTAAAATGTAGGCTGAAAAATATTTACTAAAGTAAAGTATAGATATCCAAAAAATAAAACGAAGTATTTGTACTTAGTTACTTTACAACTCTGCACACACACACACACACACACCATGAGTGACTTGTAATGACAATGGTGACATTTACAAAGTAAGAACAGACCATCTTTACCACAAATAGAGTGTTTCTCATCTCTGAGCAGCTTAGCTGTGATGTCACACGGGATGGAGCAGGCGTCCTTATTTTTGACCTCCTTCAGAGGTTTCTGGCCTCTGGCCTGGGGAGTTGTTAAGTCCTCATTGGCAATTTCTGACTGGTTCAAATTACTACCATTTCCTTGAATCTAAAGATAAATGGAGAGCAGTAGTGAGAGTTTGTGTGTAAACAGTGACTGACTGCTTTGCTCATGCTGTCTTTTTCATTAAGTAAATGCAAAAACATTGATATGAACATGGTGTATTCTTAATGAGATTAAAGCTCAAACACTCTAACAAATGCTCAACAGGAGCATCTCATATTCTTTAAAACTTCACGTTTTAACACCTGGCAGTCGTTTTGATGATAAGCAATAATCATTTGATTTATTTTACAACATGCAAGTTGTACATACTGCAGGGGAAAGCGGAAGCGAAGTGAGCAGCAGGAGGACAGTTGTCGTCCACATCATCTCAGCCTCAGGTTGTTTCCTCTCAGAGRGAGGAACAAAAACTTGTTCAAACAGCAGACACTCCTCCCTTCATTTATGCTTTTTGTTCCATCCACTATTTGCGCTCCACTTCTCCTTTCTTTTCAGTTTTCACCTTCTCCTCACACTTAAAAGTGGAAGTGACTGATGAGCTGCTCCCACTTTCCTTGTGAAAATCCCATGACAACATCTTTGCGAGAAGAGGTCTAATTTGTTGCTGAAAGTCTGAATATTTTCCCTACAAGGAGCTGAATGTGCAGATTCTACATCTGTGGTGGAGTCCTCCCTAATGCGTCGAAAACCAGGCATTGCTGTTTTAAAAGGTTACATCCTGCAGCCGGCATGAGAAACAGATGTGGGCAGGAAAAAAATGTGCAGCTGGTTTTATTGAACACTCTGTGTCTGCTTTTGGTCCTTGTGTGGGAGCTGCAGGTTGTGCATTTAAAGCAGGGTATTTCTGTTCCTTGTGTGCCCAAAACGCTGACTCATACGTCTGTATACAGACTCCAAGAGGGTCACAGCAATTTTACTTGAGTTAACAGAGTGAAGAAAGTGAAAAGAGCCTCGGCACGCTTCTGCAGACGGCTAAAGCCCGTCACTTCCTTGGAAAAACGTATTCCCGAGTGCCAAAGAAAAGATTCTCTGCTGATCCTAACCTGTGTGAGTTTACAATCATGGTCAGTGGAATGTGAAAAACCTGGTGCTGCAGCTGCAGGGCCCCCACATCTGTACAAGATTAGGTCCTCCTGTAAAGCAGTTTATGCGTGTCAGTGACAGGGGAAGGCATGATACGACTGTGTCAAGTACTCAGTCAAAAACTGGTAAGCAAAAACCTGATATCATAGCTTCAACAAAAAGCCACTGTTGAAAAAAATGTCATTAAATATTGATTAGAGTTTATCCAGGGGCGTCCGATCCTGGTTCTTGAGGGTCTKGATTGTTTAGAGACTCTAGTGGAGATTTGAATAGTTTTCTGTTTCAAGCAAAGCACAGACTGGTAAAGAAGTCAGGCAATAGTTTCTGTAGCTCCCATTTTATCTGCTAAAACTTGTGGCTCCTTCAGTGTACTCAGGTGTCTCTCTCACGCTTCTCTAGCACCATCGATTACTCAGTTTGTGAGGACCACCTGCTGTCAATAGACTTACACATGTCCCTTGTTGCTTCCATTTCTTGATGATAGATTGTTAGTTCATTCAATATACAAAAAATCCCAATTTGTCTATAGGTTTTATTGTGTCCTTAGTAAACTAATTGTAGGAGAGCTAKAAACACAGGGAGAATTCAAGGTATWAAGGTGAAACAGTGCCATCTAGGGCTCAAACCTGTGCATTACACGTGSTGTCCTGCTTGCTGCTGATCATGTTGCACACTTACACATGTAATTTTGTGTATGTATTGGGTTTTTTTTGCACACAATGAATGTTGCATGTTATAAAACTTTTAAAAACTATCTAGACAAATTGTAAAGCAACATAACATGAGACGAAAACAAAGCACTGATACTGATGCAGATATTAAAGAAAACAAAGTTTTTAAGGAATTGAAGATCTCAATGTAATTGTATGTGGAAGATATTAGTAAAACTGTTTTGAAAAATGTACATGTTACAAAAAAAAAATGCCATGGCACACATCTCCTGACTGAGCTGAACATTTTGATATATGAATGGCTAATACCAATGGCTAAAACAGAATAAATGGTCTGTTGTCCTCTTTCTGCAGCCTGCAGCGACCCCTGCAGCCTCTCAGATGTAACAGCAGGCTGTAATGCCGCATGTCTTCCTGCAGAGGGCGACAGTCTGCGGCTTGCTGTCGAGGCTCGGGACAAACAGGCTCCGGCTGGGTTGGCCTCATCTCGGGGCGGATGTTTTCTCAGCGCAACTTCCCAATACCCCATCACCCAACAACCCCCCCCCAAAAAAAAAAAAAAAAAAAAAAAAAAAAAAGACCCAGCAAATGGCTCCAGTAAATCTGAGCTCTCCTCTTATTAGTGCTCAACTTCAACAGMGGGAAAAAAATCGCACAAACTTGAAAATTCACATTAAATATTTAACAACAAACTGGCATTATTTACAACTAATGCACGTGGGAAGGGTTTTCCGCTACATGCAAACCATTAAAGTTTATTTTTTCAGTGGTAGTTTACTTATCTGTCCTGAGCGTGATTTTTTATTATTTTTTTTTCCCTGAGACTGCGGCAGCTTTAAACCCCGCACACAACCCCGCCCCTCGGCGCACTATCACATGAATCTGGACTGGAGGCTGGATGGGGGAGAAAAGTTTACAAGTCTTGTCGGTGAGCAGTTTCTCATGTGCGCGTGCTGCTGTCCCGCTCGCGCAAYCCGTCTGGTTCTTCTTCTTCTTCTTCGACGCTCGGCTCGACGTGGGAACGGTGTCGCGTTGAGTGTTTTCCCCAGCCCATATACGTCTTTTCTCCCCGCAGGAGAAGGAGTGAGAGGGGAGGAGGTGCTGGGGAGAAACGCTCTGGCTGCTTGAAGGTATGTGGGAGGCATGTTGTGCTCCGCCGAGATTGACTTTTGTCAGCTAGTTTGGCTTTAGTCGCCTTCTATCGACCTGTTTACCGGATGCTCGGTGATTTTTAGCCATTGAAGCCTCAAAACGGGCGGGCAGAAAAGTTTTACGTTGTTGTTGTTTGGGTGGGGGAAAGTTTTGGGGGGAGGAAAGTGTAAACAAAGTCCTACATGCACTAAGTTATCCAGTTCCCCACCCCTGTTTACACGGTTTAACTTTTTTTCGACAGATTTTGCTTCGACGCATAAAAAAAGAAAAAAAAAAAGAAAAAAAAAGACAACTTTTCGGCGACATGGACGCGCATCGCGGCGGAAGCGCGCCCCCGGCGGGGCAGCAGGTCGTGCACGTGCGCGGTGACTCGAAGTCGGAGCTGGAAGCCCTCTTCAGCGCCGTGATGAACCCCGGCAAGGCGGCCCGGCAGCCGCAGTCCCTGCCGATGAGGATGAGGAATCTGCCGGACTCCTTCTTCAAGCCGCCGGAGCCACGGGGTCACTCCAGACAAGTACTGCTACTTTATAGTTTTACTACATATGTGTATTTACTTATGTACTTGCATACTCCATTTGCAACTCCAACCTGCGTAAGCAGGGGCGCCTGCAGTGTTTCCCAAAGTTGGGGTCGGGACCCAAAGTGGGGTCCTTAAACATCAAGATGGGGTCCTGGAAAGATTTTCTGAATTAATTACATTTTTGCCTTAGTTGTTACAAAGGAGTGAGGTTAGTGTATTTAAAATGGATAAATGTTTACTATGCCCATGTTTAGTTGACCTGATACAAATGTTTATCATCCAAAAATGGGGGCGCAGGTCTCTGCTACTGTTATTTTGTGGGTCAAAAGCTGAAATGTTTGGGAACCACTGAACTTTGGTTCCCAAAGTTGGGCTTGGGACCCAATTATGGGTCATGAAGCACCTTGGATAATCTCCAGAAATCAATTTAAAGGGTAATAAAATAATTGCTGATGTAATATTTTCCCTATAATTATTACAAAAACACAAAATAAGTATAAATAAGTATTTATATTTGTGTACAAGCTGTTTAGATTGTCAAAAAGCCTGTTTTTAGGGTTATTAACGAAGTTCATGTACTCAGACCAGTAATATTTAGGGTCACAAGTTTTTGCCATGGATATTTTGTGGGTCAGAAGATCAAAAGTTTGGGAACCACTGCTCTGGAGAGTTTTTAAAGGGGGGCCATTGTTGAAGATGTCAAGATAGGTGGGGTTTTTTTTAAAAAAATTTATGTGCATCAACCAGGGTTCGACAAAACCTATTGCCCGACTGCCCGGGGCAGTTAAAACCCATATTCAGGCAGGTGGGTGTGTCCCGATGCCTGCCCCACCATGCAGTTAAACCATTTTTTTAATAGGGCCATCTATTCGAAATATTCTGAAAATAAATGAAGAAATATAACATTTTAAAACAGGTAAAAAGAGAATAAATCCTCAAATTGTCCCCCTCCCCTGTAGAAAAGTTACATCGTGCAGCGTCACGGGATCCTAACCTCTCCCTCCTTCCTGCTGCACGTCGCCCAGAGCGAGGCTTTAACAAAAGTGTTTTTTTTCACACCCGTGTTTTCTGAGAAAAATAAATGTTTTTTTATGTATTGTTACCCACAGAGATGAAAAAATATGTGGACGTTCGTTCAGTCATAAATCCATCTTGCTAATGTCGATTTCTGCTCTGATGATGAAGATGAGAACTCAGCAGCAGAGGGTCAATTCAGCAGGCAGAAGCTCATTGTATGGCAGGCCAATATAACATTTATTTGGCTTCACCGCACTTATATTCTAGTTATCTGAAATTGTTTTATGACTAAATTAGACATTAATTATTTAGGATAAAATAATAAAATGTTTTATTTTATTTTTTTAATTTACTTATTTTTTAAATTTGGAGATCTTTTCAGCTTGAGCTTATTTGTGTGTTGAAGTTGATTTTTAAAAATAAGGGCAAATACAAGATTTTTTTTACTTCACTCTGCACCCTTTTAATTCAGGGTATGATTTGCTTTGTTTTTTTAATGCTGTACATAGATGTTTTTTTTTATGAATGAAAGAAAGAAACAAATAAATAGACATCTCTTAATATATTTTGACAAGGCAAAATACCTATTTAAGATATCTCTAATTATATTCTGACTAGTATAAACAACAGTAGATTTATCATTAAGTTGTAGGGAGACTCCAGTTCAAGATATCTTAAATGTATCTTTAGATGTGAGAGGCTATATATGATTATTTTAATGGAAATTGTAGATTTTTTCATGTTCTGTAAATGATATTTAAAACAAAGTTGCTGCTGTTGATCATTCTGTTTTCATAAGCCCCGCCCCCAAGGCCAGTACTCTAGGGAAAACACTGGAAAGGTCTAAAAAAGTTTTTGAAGATGTTCTTGATAAWACAATTGACTGTTAATAACTCAGTCTAAAATGTTTGCATCTGATTAATCAGATGTCACTTGTTATATTATATACCTCTGTATAACCATGCTAATATTTTTGTAGTACAAATACGGTACACGTTTTTCTTTTATCAAAATTTAAACATTTTTGTTTCGGGCAGGTAACTTTTCATGTCGGCCAGATAACAGTTGTGTAAAAAAAAGTCTTGTCGAACCCTGGCATCAACTATAATAAAATGACTACTCAAAGTCTATCACAAAATTTATACTAAATGAGGGAAATCAGCAGGTTTATGTTTTGTTGCCAACAGTTAGTTATTTGTTTACATTTGATTATTGATGAGTACACTTCAAACAGCCTCATGTGCAATAGTTAGAGAGTCTGTAAAGTAATCCCTGGATGTAAACGGTGTCAGAGAAAGCAAAATGTTTTTCTAGTCTTATTCTGAAAAGAGACGGCAACTAAAAGCTGTGAAGACGAGTCAACAGAAGTTTGTCAAAGTTGGGTTTAAGCTCTTATGTTAATGAGCTGTGTCGAGATATTCTGAACTCTAAACTGAATCTTTTCAGTGATTGAATCACCGAATTTGGTCATTAAGAAATGCAAGGAATATTTGCTACTTGTTAGTAAAACTGATGCATGATGTAGAAATTTATATCCACCCATTTAAATAGTAGAATTTAAAATCAAAACGTTGAAAAGTCACTTTTTTAAGCTATTATGGTGTTAAAGAGATTAACTGCATTCAAGTGTCAGGCAAAAATAATTCCCCCCATATAGGACTCATAACTGTCTTTAAAAATTTGTTTTATGACAATATGAATGTGACTAATTTTTTTTTAATCAAATCCAACCCTGGTAACTTTCATATGTAGTACAAAGTAGGAGACATATCAGATCTTTTCCACTCTGAACAATCATGAAGTATTTCTTTGAACTCTTACATAATTCGAGCAGGAGTATGTAAATCAATCCAAATATTGGTATTGATACTAATAATATGCAGTATAATGTATGAAACTCCACCTCTAATTCTGCAGAATAGGAGTCCAYTCATTAAGCCATTCCAGAATCACAATTCTGTGCTGGAATAGGCAAGAAGTTGCAAGATCAAATGTAAACATTAGAAGAAAAAAGCATGGCAGATAGTAAATGTGTCGACTCTACTTGTACAATGGTACCCACATGCTAACGTGTAGCATCCTGCAGTGTGGATGGAGTCATCGCAGRTGTGACATCAGGCATAAAACAGAGTAAAAGGGGACAAATTAAAATAAAATGTCATTGGTGTGAAAGAATGTTAGTTTATAATGAACCCCGACATGTTGCACGACTCTGCTGGAGTTTGTCACAGTTTTCTGTGTTAATAAGCTAATGTATCAGTCCAACAGGCCTTCAGTAAAACTCTGAAGCTGATCAGGCGGACTGATACATTTGCACCACCGGCACAAACGGTTTATCTGTGCTCTGCACACATTCATTTATGTAGCAACACTATTGTGTTTTGCTTGAGAAAATGATGACAAATAGTGTTGTGCAAAAGCATAGAGAATTAATATTAGCTAATGTGGCTTTCTTTCATACCAGTATGACCTTTCTTGAGAAGGAGATATTTTATGATAACCCCTAACCCTGTTTCTGATGAGCTTTTATTATTTTTATAATATTTTTTCTGCACTGGGTTAGCAGCTGTATATATGGTTTTCTTGCTGAGAAATCTTCAGCTGTGTCACCGACTGATAAAGCCAGAGCTCAATCATCCAGAGCTTAGGAGTTATCAGGTTTTTGTGTTGCATTTACATAAATGTTTTTTAATATACTTTATATTCACACTTTTTACAGCAGCCAGCTGTGGGAAAGTCTTAAATATGATCAGAAAGTTTTTTACAGACCCTAAACAATTATTGTAACATCTGCCTCTGTTYGTTTGGCTTCAGAGTTGCATGTCAGGACTGTTGTGTTTTATGGCATTTCACTTATTATTTTAGCCTCTAAATTGCCTGAAAATTAAACTAACAGAACTTAAAGTTGTGATAGTTAAGATAATAATTTACTTCCACTTCCACAAGGCAAAGGCAGGCGATTGTGTATATGTTTGTGTGAGTCTGTTTATCAAAATGTCTCATGAAACATTGGACAGATATTAATCAGATCCTTCAAGTAATAATCATTGGCTGTACATCTACAACTGATTAATGTTTGGAGCCAATCCAATTCAAGAAGGCCGTCACAGGCAGGAAACACAAACTTTGGTATAATGTGTTTAAAATTTTACAGACATTGAGTGAGAGTCATCCCCAACACATACTCTGCATGAGATCACACGTTAGTTTTAGTCTAACATTTTACCACAGATAAAGGTGATATGACCTTTAACTTATTTCTCAAAAATCCTGACATCAGAATCATCAGCATCAATCATAGCTTTTCCTCTATTTGTCTTTTCACCTCCTTTTTTCTTCTTTTGTTCTGCTGGTTTCTGTGTTTCCGACCGCCGTTCGTTACTCCATCACAGAGTTGTTGACCCTGCTTGTTTCCCGTCAGGCCAGTTCAGACGGAGGCGTGTGCGGCTCCCTCGCTCCTCATCACGTGCGCGCTCATTCCTCCCCGGCCTCCCTCCCCGTCAACTCCCTCTCCGCTCAGGCAGCTGCAGATGTAGCCACCTCACCAATATTACCTGATGATGTGCCACTCCCAGATGGTTGGGAAATGGCCAAAACGCCTACTGGCCAACGGTACTTCATCAAGTAAGGTCCTTTTTGTTTGTTTTTTCTTTGCAGTTTATCATTGTGTTGCATCTGTTGCTCTGCAGGTTTTTTTTAATTCAGGCTCATTGATATAAAAAATACATTTTGAGTAATTTTTTGCACCTTTTCAAATATTTGATTATTCAATTAGTGATTCCTTTAAATTATATTTGGTCACTAGGTTTTATTTTAATTTAAATTCTTATTGTAACTTTTTTTATTATTATTTTGACATTATTATTTTTGTTTACCAATAGAAAAATGTATTAAAAAATTAGATCCAATAGTGCTTATGCAGCTATAACTGGCAGGGTTCCTGCGGATCCTTAAAAAGTCTTAAAAGGCATTGAATTCATCAATACAAAAATAAGGTCTTAATTAGCCTTAAAG